CTCCACACGTGACTGAATTCGGCGAATAGCGGCGCCGCGCGTTCGAGGCGTGCGGCGCGCTCAAAAACAAAGGAACATACGTCGGGGCGCGCGAAAGGTCTACTTTCCTGCACGGCATTTGATCCGGCTTCTCACGTGATCGGATCTTGGCGAATAGCGGCCTGGCGGCACGGTAAACAGACGCGCAACTCTGGCTCCCTGTAGGCCAAGTGGGTTCACATTTTTGTAATGAGCCGCCGGAGACTGTCGCCGCGAAGCGGCGTAAGCACAACACTGAGTGGTGGGTTAACACGCGCCCCCGTTATTCGTTAAAATGTTGATTCGCTCAAATGATATGCCGCTGTTCACTAAAACACCATTCGCTCATATGGCCTTTATAGAGAAACCCAGTTTAGAGAAAATAGCGACGAGCCTCTTTTTTAAGTGGTGTGTACGGATGAGTCGGGCGAGTTAACATTTTTGTAATGAGCTGCCGCAAACTTCCGCCTCAAAGTAAACGTCGGGAAAAGGGGGGGGGGGGGGGGGAATTAATACGTGCCCCAATATTACACGCACGAAGTAGGAAAGCCTTTTTGAAACAGCGTCCCTTTACCATAAACGGCGTTTCTCTAAACTGAAGCTCTGCTATCTCTAAACTGAGCTGGAACACCAATCCCATGCATTCTTCTTGATGCCTGGGTAATTTAGCAATAGGCCTATTCACTTAATGAGTGTTGATGTAGCATTTCTGTCGACGAAACATCTGTTCATGAAAAGTTGTCCACGAAACGTAATTCCACAGAACGAGTTTTGATGAAATGATAGAGACTTGTGTGGCAAATCTTGATCCACTGTAGCCAATAAAATACATGAAGAATACAGTTTGATGAAATTCATAAGCTTCTGCATGCCAGGAGTGAAGTTGCACGGGGTTCACTACGGTTGATCAAACGCCATTTCATTGAAACATATTAGAGATGGGCACGATCGTGCCCATCTCTAATATGTTTCAATGAAATGGCGTTTGATCAACCGTAGTGAACCCCGTGCAACTTCACTCCTGGCATGCAGAAGCTTATGAATTTCATCAAACTGTATTCTTCCTGTATTTTATTGGCTACAGTGGATCAAGATTTGCCACACAAGTCTCTATCATTTCATCAAAACTCGTTCTGTGGAATTACGTTTCGTGGACAACTTTTCATGAACAGATGTTTCGTCGACAGAAATGCTACATCAACACTCATTAAGTGAATAGGCCTATTGCTAAATTACCCAGGCATCAAGAAGAATGCATGGGATTGGTGTTCCATGCACCACATGCGCGCACCTTCCCCGTATAAAATATTTGAAGTAAATCGCCAAAATGAAGCGCTGACGAACTCGCGTGCAGGGTGCAATTTGTTTTAGGCATTTGCCTTAGAAAAATATTAGTGCTGAGGCCAGCACGTGTGGCACGTGGAACACCAATCACTGCATTCTCCTTGATGCTTGGGAAATTTAGCAATAGGTCTATTGTATACAGTAGGGACATTTCGTCACTCATGTATCACATGGGATGCACATTAACCCAACCTCCGTATAGCGCTGGATGGATGATGAAACGATTTGTCGATGAAACATTGCATGTCAATGGAACGTTGTTCGATACACCGATTGCCACCGTCGCTTAGCCCGTCAGTCTGTCCCACTTCCCCGAACTGGAAGGTCACCAGCACCAATATATTTTTAATTTTCAAAAAGATGCTGCCCCGATCCTCAGAGCTCTCGGCCCATCTCCTCAGGCAATTCAGTAAACAATTTGGAGAAAGAAAAAAAAATATGTCTCTCGAACGACCACTATAGACGGGGTGTCTATAGTGGTCGTTCGAGAGACACCGCGAAACATGCATTTCAAAACGGGTCCCTATCATTTCGTCGAATTACGTTTCGAAAGACAACTTTTCATGGACGCACGTTTCGCCGACACAATCGTTTAATCGACACTCAATACACGAATTTCAACTTGTAGGGACATTTCGTCACATGTGTATCACTGGGGTGCGCGTTAACCCAACCCCCACCTGCGTTCACACCGCTTTGCAGCGACAGTCTGAGGCGGCTCACTACAATGTTAACCCACCAGACCGACCCGTACATGCCGCTTCCCAGCAACAGTCTCGTGCAGCTTATTAGAGAAAAAAGCTCATCCAAGCCGTCGATGAAAGAATCTGTCTATAAAACGTCGTTCCACGAACTGATTGCCGTTTCAAAATCGCACAGATAGCGAGGAATGCAACTCCTCTAGCAGTCAGCACAATGTTGTCTTTTGCGGGTGTAGGACAAAATGGTTCCGGACCAGAATGATCCCAAGCGTAAACACAGACAAAATGTTCCCAAGTGATTTGTCGACACTTTGGGTGCTCTTTTGAAGTTTTAGTGAACTGCTACTCCGAAGCTTTATTCAAAACACACGTAACATATTTTAATGTATTTAAAAATTTTTTTATATATTTGAGGAAACAACTAAAGGAGGTTAGAAAGTTAGTTTAAGTTCTATTATCGCTCACTTGGCTCTATGGCTCCTATTCGCACAAGTCTGAGCATTGAACAAAGCTGGAAGTCACTACACAAGCACACACACACTAAAAGTGCAATGTCGCAATGTACTCTGCCATTGATCGGACTAGCCGGTAACAATATGCACAAAAGAGTTGATAAACGCCATTAGTATGTTTTATTTTTAACACTGCTTGATTAGTCCTATTAGCTTGTAGTGTTGGCTGCACTGAGACTAATTATGCGGGGAGCAATTCGTCTGCTTCTTGCGCAGGAGTTGAGGCGACGTCGGAATGACGTCAAGCTCCGAACGGATTTGATTGAAAGGATAGTGGGTAGACCTCAATGCTAGATGCCTTGAGGTCTACCCACTATTTTGTTTAATCAGCCAATAAGAGCTCGGCATTCGGATATCGTCCCAACCCCTGTGCAAGAAGGAGATGACCTTGTGCTCCGAATAGGCACTGGCATGGGCGTAGACTACGGGGGGGGGGCATCGGGGCTTGTGCCCCCCCCCCCCCTTGGTGAAATCTGAGGGGGGCTGAGCCCCCCCCCCAGGCTTTGGCTATGATCCTTACCGAGACGCTGTTTACGTGCCATGCAACGAGCTTCTAGCAGCGGCATGTAAACAAAATAACGCCCACGTTGCCTTTATTGACAAAATACATGGGAAATTGAATCCCAGCGTGCTTTAGTTAGCTCAAAATTTGCTTCAGACCATTTTGTTCAGGGCAATTTTGTCCAGGACCATTTAGTCCGGATCCCGTCTTTTGCACATGTTACTGCACACTATTTTCAGATCTACCAGGAGGTGTAATTTCGAAAAAAGACCATTGTCTTCCCTTCATTTTGCTTCCGGTGTTAACACTCTTCAAGGGCCTTTTTCCTCAACCAAAATATGAAAGTACTCTTGCTAGAGAAATAAAGGTTCCCCACTATCCTGAACAACAGGTGCTTAAGGACGTCGCAATCTTTTCTCCTTTTAAAGTACCCAACTTCTGATTGACCGATCTCTTATTCCTGCGATATCGTTCCCATGTCCCGGCACATTGCATCTTGTCCAGGGAGACTCGGGGGGCCCGCTGCAGTGTCCGAGGGCAGACGGCCGCTTCGTCCTAGCCGGAGCTGCCTCGTTTGGCGTCGCCTGTGCCGGGGCCAAGCAGCCGGGGGTTTTCTCCAGGGTCTCTACGCACCTGGACTGGATAAGGAGCAATGCTGGGATGGACGGTAACTAGCGGCCCCAGTTTAATAAAGAGCGGCCATAGTTCCCCGCACAATTTTAGTTTTGTTTCCATGCTCTCAAGGCCGGTTCATACATTGGCGTTTCGAGCGTGACCAAGTGTGTAGCACATGCCCACATGCAACCGCTTACAAGAGAACACTGTAGCAACATTTATCCTGGGACACTCGAGATCTGCGTAGAACTCGAGATTAAGTTTTTGTGAGATCAAATCTATACACAGTCCATGAGAAATAGCGCTTACGACATTGACAGAGTTATATCAACTCCTCGATAAAATGCATAAAAGATTGGAAATATATAGACTTGAAGTGCTCCAGGGCTACTTGATTGATGGTGGCAGTGCACTAGTGTGTCCTCTCACCACAAGCAGCCACAAGGGAGCAAAACTAAGGTCCTTAGGCCTTTAGGTGGGTCATCATGCACATGCCAATGCATTCCACAGCTTGACTGAGACATGGTGCATACCTGCAGCCCTTGCGCCAGCCCCCCCTCTTTACAGCGCAGGTTACAGCAACGTAAAGTTATGTGGCATCTTAGCAGGATGCTAAATCCAGAGGACCAACGGCAGATTCCAACTATATACGGCAATAGTTTTTCCCCATATGTGCATGGGCCTTGTTTTGTGCACCCTCGTACCTACCAAACACCTTCGACATCCCCGAAAAGGCGTCAACAGGTGTCAGAAATCGGCAATGTTGGCAGCGAGGAACTGACCCAATTGCTGATATGAGTGGAGAAGTACTCTGCACACCAACGACAAAAAAATGTGCCTTCAAAATGTAACAATAAACTACTACATACACCAGAATAGGTGAGGTGGTCAAGTATGTATCATTTTGTTACTAAACATTTGCAAGTTTTTGGGAAAAACGATATACACTGTATGCTATTCGGAAAATTGGCGTGAATTCGAGAGGGATCGATGGCTGAGCACGTGGAGCAAAAGCTCGTACTGCAGAACCCAGGGATCCTGGGCTCCATCCCTACCTACCCGTTTTGACCTGGATGAGCGTGTGTATCCCTACCGAATGGTACACATTAAAGACCCCAGTCTAGCAGTAGTATTCTACTGGCTAAATTTCTCGCCAACAGCGGAGACACGTACCAGACGCCCCACTGCGGCCGACCAACTTCCCATAGCCTACACACATACAGCGTGTAGGCTACACACATACAGTGTGCGATTGCAGACGTCTCCATTAAGTTTGTTTTTCACCAAGAGAAAGAGAAGCACACCACATACTTTGCATCAGTTTTATCAAAACCGAAGACTTCCATAGTCGCATTTTCACCATTCCGAACAGAGAAGACTCCTGATAAAGGATTATGCCCTGAAAGGGCCACGCAAGCATCCGCACGCTCACCGCAAGGGGAGAGGATATGAAGAGAAGGCAAAAGGAGGCCATTGTTAAAATCGCTCGCTCTCTTGTCCAAGACTCACTCAAACAAAAAAAAAAGAAATAGAAACCTTGCGTGTGAGAAGCGTCAATTCCACGTTTGTTCTCTCTCTCTCTCTCATTTTCTATTTAAAAAGCGCACCTTCGCAAACCTGAAGTTTATGTTCTAGACTGTATTTGGTAAAAGAAACAAAAACGAAAGACCGATATAGCCGGCGTCTTACGGGCAGCTTGATCGTGCTGTCTGTCTCGTCAGCGACATGAGCTTTTCGACCTGAACAAAAAATAAAGGAAACTAAATAAAGAATCTGGGTAGTCTGCATCATCTAACATGATCGTAACATCCTTTGCCGGAAAAAAAGAAACCGCACTTGACTTTTAAGAGCTGAAAACTTCATGTGAAAGCTCCTGCCCGTAGAAAACTGCTGAGTCTAGCTTACGTAAAAAAACGGAAGCATCAAGAATGACCGGGACCCTTTGACCTGCCTCCCAAACCAAAGAAAACAGCTACCTAGTTTTAAAAACCTAGGAACTCGCTCTATGAACAGCCAAAACCATTGAACCTAACGGTTCCCGACGACCACCACACCGTTAGCAGACACAGCAAAATATGTGCGAGAGGGGAGAGAAAGAGGACAGACCGCCACGACAATAACGTCGGGCGCCGTCCGTCCGTTGTCCGTAAGGAAGGCGTCTGCTCTCGGCGGTCGTAGACGAGTGGCCGTCGTCGCCGTGCACACAACCCTACTAAGCAGTCTGCCACGCTAAACGCACAAGCACACACACACACCAACTGCTGAAGTGATGATCCAAAAAATAAAACGGAAGAGAGAAAAAAAAAACGAATAGGGGTGGTGGGTTTTGTGGCAAACTTCCTCCCAGCAGACATTCATCTCAGGACATCATGTCGTCGGGGCTGTGATTGAGCGCGGAGGGACACCGTATGACGCCATCACCCACCGCTCCCTGCGGGAAAAGAAGACAATGCGACTGTCAATGCTCGGCATAACAAAAACGAGGACAGCCTAACAAGTTAGATTCCTACATGAGGCAATTAATTTGCATTTAAATGCCTCAGTGTTGCAGTGAGGAATCTTACAATCTGTTTTCTTTAAATTTTTATTGGACCCAGCAGAACTGGCCCCTATGTAAATGAACATAACCTTTGCAGAGCTCTAAAAAGTATGTGGCAACTTCCCTCTAATTTCGTACGTCCCTCACTTGAAGCAAAGGCAAGACATTCAACTGGTGCTCGAGCAAAAGAGGTGTGGCAAATATGGTACTCAAACAACAGCACAAGACAACAGAAGTGAAACACAACCTGCAACTTACAAAACAATATTAACAGAAAACAAACTAATAAATATGAGACCCAGCAAGCAAGTGACAAATACAAGCAATACCATATCGGATATACGTCTGCCTCCTTCACCCACAGAATTAAATAAAACGTGCCCTTTTTAGCTCGGTTTAATGACCGTATACAAGTGAAGCTCGAATTTCGCTTCCAAAAGAATCTATCCAAAGGTTTTAAATAAATTATTATGTTTACTCGACTAATCAATGCACTGTTTATGAACACGGCCCGTGCATTTACCTGCAGAGCACACATACAGTCAATCATCGCATTCTACACATGAAACATAGAAACAATGCAGTCAAGAAAATGTTACTCCATGAAACCGCAATATGCACACATAGCATTTTCACATAAGGAAGTTATCTCTGTCCCGTAAGCCTCTGGACTCTTGTCGACCACATTGATTGGCTTACCGTGTGCTCCCCGTGAAAGCAGACACGTGCTTTTTTCATGAACAGTGCGTCGATTACTTGCAAAAATGTCGTAAGTTCGGGTCGTGCTAATCGTAAGCTCTAGAGAAATCTTGGAAATAAATTAACTCGCACTGCAGAATGTGACAGCCATGCTGAAAAGAAATGCCAGGCAAAATAAACTGAATCAAGGTGGGGGTGTGGGTGAACTGGTTCACCGTCAAAGGGACAAAACGGCACACAATGACCGGAGATAGAAAATAGAAACGGAGAACTAAACAGGACAGCACTTGTCGCGCTCAGATCTTTGGTCTCCGTCTCTGTTCTTTGCACGCTGTTTTGCCTTTCTGACAAAATGAACTGGGCTCGCTCACTTATCGCACCTCTTGAACCAGTGCAGAAAACTGTAGGGTGGTGTATTTCCGGTACGTGTATTGAGATACGACCGGAAGCACACCGCCCTACACTTTTCTGCACAGGTGCGGGTAAATCGAATGAGCCTACTATATAGACGCTTTGCACACGTGCCAGATTGAGCCGCCATAGCTGACCTTCTCCTGTTTTACCGAGATGCCGAGCCACCGAGGCGGGCGTTTATGAGCCTCCAAAGAGGTCTATGATGGGGAAAAGGACGCAGTAGCACCTAAAGTCGCAATAACCTGTTCTGCTGTGGCAATGATGACGTGAAGCGAACGGAATAAGAGGAAACTAAAACTGAAGGTCGCTTATGGCAGCGCCCATGCACAGCTGCTGCAAAGCGTCTATACAGTTTCACCCTCCGTGCCATCTGGTAGTCAAATGCGTGCTATCAGCGAGTCAAAAACAACCACTTCCTAATCTACCTGTACTTCGAACCCCGTATAACTTCTGTTTTGCACGGATAATGCGGCACTACTAGCCCTCTGTCTGCTGCGACCGCATGCAACCAAGGGTGCTCGAGACAATGTTAGCCTACCGCTGCCATGAAACCCTACCAGTGACATAAAAAAAAAAAAAACTAGTTACACCTGTACTTGGTTTGGCATGTCAGACAAAGCCTGTGTTGGCATTTCTGCAAGATTTCACTTCGTGTACCACACCCCATGTTTCGTTTTACCCAAAAACACCGGCGGAACTAAGGCTATGGGCGTGCGCCGCTAACAGTGGCGGCAAGGACTTGTGCTAATAGACACGAGTTTTTCTCGACAATGAGGTGAAGCAAAGTACAAGAAGGTACAACTTTGCAGCTTTCTGATACAAGGTGACGGAGCATACATGTTTTGACACTGGATAAGTTGGCATAACACAACGGCATTGGTGCATAAGTTCAGTACACAAATAAAGGTAGCACGAAAGACGAGGACAAGTAGAAGACACAGACAAGCGCTGACTTGCAACTGACGTTTAACGGGGCATCTCGCTCTACACGTACAAATTGTAAGTGTACCCGCTTATTCCATCAAACAAAAATCCTAAGGCAATCCACCTCTTTCCGTAGGAGTGGCACCTCGTGTCAAAGGATTCTCTTGGGTGGGATGAAAAAATGCCAGAAGAAAGGAGAGGGCACAAGCTTCTTCGTGCTAACATGGGGGCGAAAGGTAAGCCACCATGGATACAAAAGCAATGTCTCTGGAGCTGAATCTATGTCACCGTCGCTTAGTAGACCCAAGAGGATCTAGAGTCCCTATTCGAAGGAATATTCGCGTACAGTCGTGCACCGCCCACACATCTTCTACCCAAGAAACCCTCGAGCCGCAAGAGAGGATTCATTCAGCGACAGAAGAACGAGAAATTTACGAGGTGCAAGTCATAGCAGCTAGAGGGGATACGTGCGTCCATGTGCCATCAGTAGCCTCGTCAGCGAAGGAACCGCACAACTTACAATGTTTTGCCCGAAAACTTGCTTTCACTGGCATAATTTCACAGGCCTCTTCTTTTTTTTCCCCTTTTTAATGGAGTAGGCTTTTATTCCAATTTCGTTTCTGCTGCTTTCCTTTCTTCTTTTCTTTTTTCATGCATTCATATAAGTTTAACTCATAACTCACTTCATTTTGAAATCAGATACATTTTAATCCTTTCTTTCATTTTCTTTTTTAAATTTTGTATATTTCCTTGCGCTTCTGCTTTATCTTCCTTTGTTTCTTCACTAAACGCCTGTTTCAGTAGGTGCTTCTCTGAGTCTTCCACTTGTCCGTCTTTTGCGCTACCTTTATCTGTGTAATGTAAAACCAACCAGCCAGTCATATGATCTTAGTGCATAGCTTCCACAACCTTGGAAGAACACCTTTCTGTCACTGCAGTCGCCGACGGGATGGGAGCGACACCGAGGTCTTTCGGTGGTCCCGCCTCCAGCGCAAGCTTCCCACCATCAATGGCACTTCGGTGCAAGAAATAAATGCCCCATCACCCTCATCCTGTAGCGCCCGTAGACCGCGACCTTGGCCGAGCTTGCACGTAACGCTATCCGTGATGCATATGTGGGGGAGGGAGGGGGTGGGGAGCACTTACGTGTTCGTGTGGAAGCCCAGTGCGCATGGGCGAAGGAGGTTCACTGGCGTGCTGCTGGTGGGGAAACGGCTGCCGCTGGTGCGGCGGTGTCGCGGGGAAGCCCGAGAACGGGGAGCTGGGCCGTTCACAGGGTGGTGCCAGTTCTGTGACCGTCCCTACGACGACACAAGCCAAAAGGAGAAATCAGCTAGAACAAAAAACTGAAAGGGACACTGATGGGGTACTTATGCTTGACGAGCTTTTTACTTGTACGTGACATACAAGAGCCCAGCTACCCAAAATAGAAATTGAGGCTCAAAATTCTTTTTTTTTCCCCCTCCCGAAAACCGTTGATCGAGAACTGGCCGGTTTGAGTCTTGCTTACTCTCTTCTCCATGGTCACGTGCAGTTTAGACACAACCACCGAATATAATCAAAGTCGTGGGTCATTGGAGGCACACAGTCAATATAAAAAATATAAAAATTAAGAAACCCATTTTTGTAGCTTTTAAGTAGCTGCTAATCCACAGAATGAAAAAAAAAAAAAAAGTTGTGGCGTCCTGGAAGCACATGCAATGCGTAATTCTCAACATGGCATCGTACCACGGAATCGCCGGAGCAGCTCGGGAGTCATGGGCTGGACAAAGCAGACTAAGCGGGGGCGGTGGCTTCGGGCACGGGACCTCTACTCCAGAACTGTTGTTCGCGGTACCCGTGAATCTGCCTAGCTTCAAAAGAGATGTGTTTTACCAAACGATATGATTGGGATCTATCCCATTAAAAACGCCCAACCATCAAGCTGATTCGCACGAAGACGTCGCCAAGTCGTCGCTCCTTCTACTGGCTGAAGACATCGCTTGTCTTACGAACGCGAACTGCTAAGAGCTTGAAACATGCGCAAACGTCAAGCACAAAGTGAGTATTTAGTGTTGAATATGCATGCGTATGACTTTTTTTACTAGGTGCAAATGTGGCTAATGCACGGCGCTGCCCGACTTCGAGCCTGAGGAGTGCCTTTGCAGCAGGGAATTGGCAGCAAACTTTCTGATCAACAGTCGTCTGGCTGCATTACTGTGAACGAGGAGTTCCCTTACTGCAAACGAGGAGTTCCCCCTCGTGTGCATGACCATTACAGTGTTAAAACTGTTGTCTGCTTCACACAACCAAAAATGTGAAGGAAAACAACAAAAAAAATGTGGTCAGGTGTAGCTACGTGACTTCCGGCAACTTTCTCCTCCTATTTCTCCCTCCTCTATAGAGGACTTGTCGCGCCATTACTCTGTACAATGCGTTTCAATTTCAAACATTTGCATTTTTTTTGCTTCATTAAGAATGTTCGCAACTCTGTAGAAAAATATTGATTGGGTAGCCTTCTGACATCATATAGAATCGCATGGCAAAAAAATAAAAATAAACTTTTGGCGAGTGTCGGTGTCCCTTTAAGGGCCAAGAAAAAGAGGCCAAATTTCGAGTAAAATTTAACACGCATATATGCCAACGAGTCCTATAACAAACACTCAACCAAAAGGTATTTTAAACGCAGACAGACAAAGTACTGCCTTATCTGTGCCTACATTTAATTTCTCTCCGTTCAGTCTTAGTCGCTACCAAGCTGCTCCTACCAAACCTATTCTTTAACAGACATGTTTTTCTTTTTTTTCTTTTTTTTTTTCTTCAGCTTGTAAGAACAAGGCACCTGCTAAGTGCAAATGCCGAACGGCGTTTGCATTTATGCGGCCCTTTGATACCGACGCAATGAAACATGTCTATCCGTCGACTTCTTTGCAGACGACTGTATCACTGCGCGGATCCCCAAGCACCCACCTGGAGAAGTAGCGAAGGGGTTTCCGGCTGGGGGCACCGTGGGTGTTCCCCTGGGGGGCGACCCCAGCTGGTGAAAGGCCTCCATCTGCTGGGTCACCGCCAACAGCCCGCCCTCCGCCACCGTCAGGATCACCCAGATCACCTCGCCAAACACCTGGCCACCCAACGACGCCATGCGCCACTGGCCCTGCGCCGGGAAGGAGACGCCCAATGTGTCGGGCGTGACGCCAGCGACCACGACAGAGGATCTCGTTTTCTAAGCTCCCCACATGTAGGCCGAGGGCAACGGGCTATTGGGGAAAAGATTCAATCGTCGCGCCCCTAGCGGCCAAGTCGAGAACTATGAAGGGACAACAGACACATAAATGGCCGGTGAGTGTTTCTGGTGCAGCACTCGGCTGGAGATCATACTCGATCGGTGAAGCGCAGCTAGGGTACGAGTACCAGCTGATACTGCACTCATCTTCAATCTGCACTTCGTGCTTGGCCGAGGTAGACTACGTAAAGAATACAGCTTCCACAGGCTTTTAATGCAGTTAGCTTTCTTAGGACCTTCAGGCAACTTTGAGGTATGCTTCTGGCCATTTATTTTCCCCGCTAAATTTAATGGGAAAATTGATGTCGCATGATCTGATGTCAAGTGATCTACACACAAATTCATTTTCCCTGCTAAATCTAGCAGAAAAACTAATGTCATGTGACACAATGTCACGTGACCTAAACGCAAATTCAGTTTGGGCGCTGGATTTGGAAGAAACATTGACATCACGTGACCCCAACACCAATTCAGTTTCTTTGCTATATTTAGCGGGGAAAATGATGTCGCACAACTTCATGTCACGTGACCTATTGTATTTTACGGTGCACAAGTCTCGTTGTTTTTTTGTTTTTTTTTTTTCAAACATTTTTCTTGGTGCATTTTGTACAGCAATGTGACTTATATGCTTTTTTTTTTCTTCACAGTGTGATGTTATTTTTTCTTATGCACCGCACGCCATCTTTTGTAGACCACCGTAACTATGTAGCCATAGGTGGCATTGCCCCATCCAGGGGGTACTGCTGTTGCCGCACTCTTCTACGTTTTCATAACCGACTTGGAAAGTGATAATATTATGGTTTCCTCAAAGCGGCTCAATATGAATAGGCAAGACAGTAAAAATAAAGCTTTTACAGCATGCTATCGACGTTGCCTTACTCAGCCATGGTTTTGTATACTTTTGCTTCAGTCCAGTAATAATGAAAGGTAAGTGGGCTGGCTGGTGTACACGCATTGCAGAATACTTTCTTGCGTCTTTCTTAGTTTCTGTTTGATAAGCAGTGTTTTTCTGCTATGCTCCAGCTGTGTTGCTACATGTGAAAGGAAGGATTGTGCCTAGCCAATCTTTTAGAGGTACCGTAAAAAAGTATCTCAAGGTTTATCTCTCTGCCTGCGCACCGATGCTCGCGTCGCCTCACAGACTTGGCTTACGCTAGGTCTAGTGCTCCAAAGCTTGGTTCACAAGTCTCTAGCTGGTTGAATTTCGTTTGCTCAGCATGTGCTCGCTCCTTTTGCTGCAAAACACCCTATTGACCCAACCAGACAGCGCTGTGCTATGGGCATTTCTCGAGAGTCGAAACGTCAAACGATACGTGTGATCTAACAGACTGAGCAAAACTCCGATTTCACGATATTAATGCGCATAAACTAAAAAAACTCATTGCATGAACCGTGCAAAAAAGTGTGAATCGCATACAAACTTTCCCACGAAAACGGCTCAAAATATGGATGTGCGACTTGTACAAGGGTGCGATTTATAGTTCGGAAAATACGGTATACACAAATTCAGTTTTCCCGCTAAATTTAGCTGGGAAGATGAGGTCGCATGGCTCAATGCCACGTGACCTACACACAAATTCAGTTTACCAGCTTGGCAGGAAAATTGACACGTGACCGCCCGCGGCTCTTTTAGTTACGTCTGCAGCTGATCGTTTAATTAGACAACAACATACTGTAATATCCCGAGGATAGCCCACCTAAAATTCAAAGCAAATCAGGTGAATATAGGCAATTAACACTTTCAGTACGCAATAAAAAAAAAAGGTGAAAAGTGCTAGTGTATAGATTATGCCACCTGCGAAATTTGTGATTGCAGGAAGGAGCGATGAACCAAATTTGACCGTTGTTCCCAGTCAGTAATGTTCACTCATCCCCCACCATGGCTAGGTAACATTATTTCTACCGAGGTCACAATTGGCCAGGGCCCGGCAGTAGAACAATCTCACTGAGCGTTTGGCGCATGCGCGACGCCGCCATAACTTTAGTTCACTGGAGGCAGACGGCTGTACATGCGAGGGCTCGTGCCAACTCGTCCTCCACAAGTGCAGACACCAGCAAGGCTGTTGCTCGTGCAGAAAGACTAAAGTTTCCTTGATGCATTGCGGCAGCATTGTTAAACTGGCTGGTGAGTTTGGCCTTTTACTAAAAATAAACATTCAGGTTTTCTTTTTTTTTTTTTTTTTTTTTTTTTTTTTTTTTAAGAATCGGCAGGTTGTGTCAAAAATACGAGTGGGTCATTTTTGGGGGGAAGGGAATCTGTCGGGACGTTACACTAGTTGGTCCTGCTGCCATTTTTTGTCGAGTAAACACCAAGTTCTGCGGAAAACGATCGGGACAGAGCACCTTCTAAACAGCAAACTCTCACTTGAGTGAATGTCTGTTTAAGAAATATTTCTGAATAACGAACTTTAAAAATATGCCCGGCGGATTTCCTATGCTTCAGTTAAACGAAACATGAATTTTGGCATAGCGAATATTTCAGTTCAACAAACTTGATTGGTCGCTTGACCCCGCTTCTCTACATGCGGACATGGGCGGCAGCGTCATAGTGTGGTGAAAAACGGGCGTACGACAGGCCCAACGAGCTTGTGCCTTCCGCCAGAATGTAAGCTTAGGGGTGAACGGAGTATGAATCGCTCGTCCGACGATTCGAGACACCCAACCGAACCGCATTGTAGTGTGAGGTAATGCTTCGCACCACGCATCCGGCGGTCGCCGTTTAAGCGGTAGCAAGAGAGAAAGCACAAGGACTTCTCCACGGCACGCACATCGCGCAACAAAAACGGCAAGCTTTTGCAACGCGACGCCGCGACGTCAGCTCCGCAGTAGGGGAAGTGAGGGATGTTCAGGCAGTACAAACAAACCTTTTTAATGACAGCAGTTTTTGCCAACACGGTTCAGTGTTCGGTGCAAAGACCAATAAATTCATTCGGTTACCTTGTTGTCGAATGCAAACGGTGCACCCTTCAGATGTTCCTTTATCTTAGAAAACAGCCAAAAGTCTGACAGCGCGAAATTTGGCGAACGAGGCAACAACTTTGAACCGCAACTCCTCCGGCACGGCATCGGTCTCGTCGACAGCCGCCCTCAACCATTCACAACGGCATCCGGAGTAGTGCACCCATGGCAGAAGTGCACCGCTGCCGATGGGGACTATACTGAAAAGTTGCGTGCTACCGGGAAAGATGAGATTCCAAACTTTAGTTCTAACGTAACACCTTTCGAATTCCACCACAAAATAAAAAAGTTAAAGCCTAGGACGCAAAACTTGTCGATCACGCCTCGTAGTCGACGCCCAGCACGACTGCAGGGCGGCCTACGACGGGGGGTCGCTGGCAAGGAACGGAGCACGCACCTGGTAGATGCCTGGCTTGCCGGGGCTCGCCATCTCCACGGACACGTCGGTCGTGTCCCCGGGCCGGAGCGACTCGACCCCGACGCTGTCCGTGTGGCCCAGGTGGTCGCCCCCGACGAACCTCAGGGTGCACATCGGTGGCCAGTCGGACTCCCCTGCACGCAAGTCGCGCCTGAAGTCTCCTGCTACGACCAGTCCCACCCTTCCGTTCACCTTACGACAAACCACAGTAGCTGCTACGAGCCGAAGACAAAAGTCACACTCGGCGGCTTTACGTGCCAAACCAATCAAGAGCATCTGGCACACCCTGGCGGAGGACCGAAGATAAAGTTTGGCCACCTGGAGATTTTATGACGTGTGACTGGAACCTCTGCCTTCTCCGCTATAAGCCTCCTTCAGATTGCGGGCACCTCAACTGGGATTCAAACCCGCCACCCCGGGGATCCATAGGCCGGTGCTCTGCCTCGGAGCCACCGGGGCAGCTGGCTTCTACGAGGCATTCCGGCCAATCTGGTGCTGTGAACGTATCATGTGGCTATCCACCCTGCGCAGCGGCCCTCCTGAAGGTAAAGCGACGCTTACAGAGCACTGGTATTGTTTCAGTAGGTCGAAGCGTCCTTTGCAGACCATTGTAAGGTGAGGTAGAGTATATAATCAGACGACAGAAGTCGCAGACGAGGGACACTCGAGGTAAACTTTAGAGTTTGGCTCCATGATTTGCGTACAAAAGTATGAAAGGCAGTACTGCTTCCTAATAACCATTCTAGTACCCTCGGAACAACTGTTTGCAAGAATGTCTATGCCTCTAGCACAGTGGTTTTCAAATGGGGGTCTGCAAAGCCCTGCCTCATCAGTCAAGCCCGGCAATAAAAGTTGTCTTTTTTTCAGATCGAGAAGAAACATTCTGATTTTCGGGTGACATTTCTCGTGTGTGTGTCCATAAAAGAAATCTACTTCACACTAGCCCTTAGTTATATCCATTTATGAAATCATTAACATAATTAAAATATACCTTTCCCTTTCCCTCACCATGAACGGGGTCCTCAGTCATCTCTGCCTATCCCCAAGAGGTCCGCAAAACATCAATGGTTGAGAACCACTGCTCTAGCAAAAGAGGGCTATGAAACAGTACAGGAAATTAATGTATAGGAGTTCAGGCATCTAAGCAACGCAACATTTAGATATTTTTGTACAAGGCTAGCATCTAATGTTATTTCACTGTACCTGTTCATAACCGGGAAAGCATATTCGGTGCTGCAAAATTAATGCTGTACAAGGCAGACTCTGCAGCAAGACCACCACAACGGCAGTTGTGTCAAGGCAAGTCATGCATGTTCAAATAAAAAAATCTCTCTTATACGGTCCGATTTGCAAAGTAACCAGCAAGTGCCATCTTAATCAAGGTCAGCGGGAACGCTGGAGCATGTGGGATCGGCACTATCAGAGCACTGTAAGAGTTCAGTGTGCATGTGAAACTGCAGTGACAGTATACAATGTTGTGTGCTCACGTGCTCCCACTAACTGTAAGATTATACATGCTCTTTTTTCTGATCTGTTTTCTTCATGAATAATATAATAAAGGACATGTCACAGAGTAGCGACAGGTATGGGGCATGCCAGAATTGGACTGAATGCTCAGTCACTTGCTTTTCTTCACATTTCGCAAACACTATTGAAAAGGTAGCCTCAAAGGATGCGCAGCATGTAAGCAGATGGAACAAGATGCTTGTTCCCATCACAAGTGATGAATAGTGCTGCATTGAAATGGCACTTATTTCCCACACAAAACAGGGCACAAAATAAGTAAAGACCATGTTATGAGACGCGTAAGTAAACAAAGTGTCCAACCGCAATGTGCAAGCGCATACAGACACGCGCAGACATGAAAAAGCGATGAGTCAGCCAATTTCCGAGTCCGACGAACCCCCCCCCCCCCCCCCCCTTTTTTTTTTTTTTTACCCCGTTGCCGGATACACACCTGTGTTTTGTATCCTCCACGTCTTGATAAACCTCGTATTGGGCGGCACCGCTTCACCTTCTCCGATGGTAACGTCTTTTATGAGAGTCATGCCAGGCCCATTTTCCTTTGGAGCTTCGAAATCGAAATAGGAGCAGACAGCAGCCTGGAGGTTCCTGCATCGAGAGTCGCCGTTTACGACAAGACCTACGACAAACTCGTATAACCTACTTTTCGGAAACGAGGCAACCAGAAACACTCACAATCACCCCAAAACTCAACGAAAATCCATCAAAAGAACAGACACCGATATCAGGGAAATCTTCTCTCGAGTACGACGAAAGCGTCGACATCTTCATTACAGCTGATTGCGTGAGTACCGTTTATCGAAGCGCACGACGCAAACAACTGGTAAAAAATTAGACACCGACATGTTAGACATTTCCACGATTTAACTCTTAATCCCGCTAAGTAAGCAACAACCTACAAAAAAAGGACGTGCGTGTAGAAAAAAATAATCGAAAACGGCTACATCACGGAGTTGCGGACGATGGGGGCCACTAACCCTAACGTACGAGTAAACCCCAGCCCGTCGCCAGTGTCCGCGACCTAAACCCTGTTCACCCGAACTCACCAGTTGTTCATGTCGAGGAAGAATGCGCATCCTGCCGGGTTGAGCTGGTAGCCCAGCACTTTTTGAAGCTGGCAGACTAAAACATCACGGTCCGTGGTGCCTAGGCAGCTGAATTGCTGCAGCAAATTTAAGTCCAAATCACTGTCAATATCCATCGCGACCGCCGCATTTACGTCCAGCCATCAAAGAACTGCCGTTTCGGGTTCCTGACGCAGGCAGGATCGGGCGTGAGACACAGCCTTCAGCCGAATCGTTCGAGTCGCGTCCCTCGCAGAGAACCACAACTGATCCACGCCATGACAGTTTTTTAGTCATTGATGACGTAACGGCCCGGGGCACGCCGGGAGATATTACAATTAGCCACGTGTGGTCGTGACGACTGCGTTACGCTGGTTACGTAGTTTTACCGTTTTACTTTTGCAAAGTCTTCCTGCATTGTCAACCCATAATTCGGCTTTGTTTCAGAAAGTTGTACGTTAGCAGTTACCTGCAATGCGCACGGAAAGTTAGAGGAAGTTAAAAGGGACGAGAAAATAGCTCGGCAACGAAGCAAACCGATTTAAAAATTAAAGGTTCCTTTAGAGTAAACACAGTTGCCCGAGCACTGTAGTCCAAAGGTCCTCTTTAGTTCCTGCCTATTACTGCAGCAGACATTTCCTCAACCTTTGAATAGCTTTCCACCAATTATTTATATATGACAGAGCAAATAATAATGGATACTCTTATTTAGAGACTGCCATATAAAATATTATTCAGTGTACACCATGAATACAGCAAACAATCAGCAAATGACATTACAATAATAACTTCCAATTCTGTTCGCAACTTTCAGCGATGGTAGTACTGCGGTGCGAGAATAGCACTCCCTAGCTCCTGGACGATCGGCTTCACAATGAAGGTGCTTCCCAACGTTAAAATATAAAGC